CATAGAATAGTAGCATTGAAAGGATATGGACAGTTTTTGTTGTGCTTTGGTCTGTAGCCATTCGTATTTGCAATCTTTAAAATGATAGCTTTGCCCATACTCTATACTGAGCCAATTAATCTGACACCCTGTGTTCAAGTTTAATACTGCACAGAGTTCTACATGCTGTGAAAACTGCACTCTTCTCCTTTATCAATCAGTTAGGCTTGGCTCCAGTTTATACCAGCTGCTGTCCTGGATTGCCAGTATGGTATCTACATGGTCATCTACTGGCCTGTTTCATCCATTTTTGAGTGTAATGCAGTTCAGTCCTTCTGCAATTTGTGAATTTTAGTATGTGCTTAAAGTCAGTGCATTCTCTCACTTCGCTGTGCTTTTGAAAGATTTATTTTACTTTTTAGCAGGGCTTGTTGGGACAGAGCAAGGGGTAATGGTTGTAAACTAAAAGAGGGTAGACTTAGACTAGATACAAGGAATAGATTTTTTACAATGAGGATGGTAAAACAGTGGAACGGGTTGCCCAGAGAGGTGGTAGATGCCTCATCCCCAGAAACATTCCTGCCAGGTGGGATGGGGCTCTGAGCAACCTGGTCTGGTTGAAGATGCTTCTGCTCATTGCAGGGGGCTGTTTGGACTAAATGACCTGTAAAGGTCCTTTCCAACCCAGACTGTTCTACAATTCTATGAAATATTAAGGAATGCATAGGGTTTTTTTTAATTTTTCCCCAAAGGAGGCCTCTGATCTGAAATAAAAATTCTTTCCATTTGTTGCAGACTAGAAGGTAAATCCCTTTCTGCTCCCATCGAAGGTGGGGAGAGGAATTAATCGGTGTCTGAGAAGACCGCACTGTTTTCCTCTCTTGCAGGAGTTGCATCGTTAGAGCCAAGTGCTGGAACGGCAGTGGGAAATAAACTCTTGAGAGTGAGAGCTGGCAGCGGGGGGCGCTTCAGGTTAAGATCACTTGCCTGGGTCTTTTCTGGGCCTGGCAGTTTGCCCTGCCGCTTTATTTAGGGAACAAATAAGAGACTTCAGTCTTCTGGGCTGTCAAATTGCCATCTTTCACCAGTCCTGCACTGCACATATGACAGTTCTTTAAAAAGGAAACCCCCAGAACCTTTTTACTGTGATCACTGCAAACTAAAATAAAATAATTCACATGACTGTTCTAGTTTTGAAGCTCACGATGAATAGCTGGAGGGTTCTGCAGCAGCAGCCTTGAAGAAGAGGTTAGAAAATTATCATGTTCCTTCTCCAGTGATACATATTGTAACATTTTCTACCACTGCATTGTATGTGTTACCAGCTCTAAATATTGTGATTTGGTTAATTTAGGGCTTTATGACAAATGTAAATCTGTAATCTGGCTTTCACAATTGG